ATGCTTGCTGCCTTTCCAACAGTGCCTGTTGAAGTTGCTGCCCATCTAGACTTAATGGTGGAGGTTTCAGGCCATGAAAGAAGGGAGAGTGTGTATTAGGCACTGGGTCACGTACTTACAAGGAATACTAATCCTCACAGCATCCCTACCTGATTACTATTGTTACCATCACTTACCAGATGAGGACACTGAAGACAGAGAAAGTAACTTACCTAAGGACACCTAACTAGTACATGACTTGGGCCAAAATCTGCACCCAAGTTGATTTGACTCCACTATACTCCACTGGCTATCTGAGAGAAACAAGGACCTGGGGTGCACGTATGTGGCTAAGAGGCAGTCTTCACCCCATCCACTGTATGCATGTGGTGCCCACAGGAAGGGAGGAAAGGGTGAGAGGAGAGGCAGTTGCAAAAGAGGAAGGAGATGCTTTCACTGCCTGGCAGGGGCACAGGAGTTTATGAAGATGCTGAGAACAGGAACACCTAACTCTCAAACAAAACGAGATCACTGTTAGGCAAGGTGGCTCACGCTTGTAATCCCAGCACTTTGGGAGGCTGAGTCAGGATGATTGCTTGAATCCAGGAGTTCCAGATCAGCCTGGGCAACATAGGGAGGATCCTATGTCTACGAAATTTAAAAAAAAAATGAAAATTAGCTGGATGTGGTAGTGTGTGCCTGTACCCAGCTACCTGGAAGGCTGAAGAGGGAGGATGGCTTGTGCCTAGGAGGTCAAGTCTGCGGTGAGCCATGACTGCGCCACTGCACTCCAGCTTGGGTGACACAATGAGATCTTGTGTGGAAAAAAAGAGAGAGAGAGACAGAGAGACAGACAGAGAGACACAGACCAGGGGGGCAGATCACTTGAGCCCAGGAGTTCAAGACAAGCCTGGGTAACATGGGGAAATCCCATCTCTACCAAAAATACAAAAATTAGCCTGGTGTGTGGGTGGGGGTGTGTGCCTGTAGTCCCAGCTACTCGGGAGGCTAAGGTGGGAGGATCACCTGAGCCTGGGGAAGTTGAGGCCACAATAAGCAGAGATCGTGCCATTGCACTCCAATCTAGGCGACAGAGTGAGACCCTGTCTGAACTTATTTTGTTAAATGAGATCATTTCGTGTGTTTAGGGAGCCTGCCTGCTGTGATCTTCCTTTCTGATGGTTCTGAGGCCACACCACTGTTTCTTCTATTTTCTGCAGTGAGCAGCCTGCTTCCTGGCCCCCCTCTCACCGCAGACATGTCTGCAAAGAACGCAGGGTGGGGTTTATAAAGATCTGGAAGGGAGCAGTGCCTGCAGTTTAAATTCAAAGCGTCCAAATAAAAGTGTCAAGGCTCCCAATAGTGTTGGAAAGGCAGAAGAGGTGTCCAGCAGTGAGGGCCCTCCTGGCAGTTCCGGCAACATGGGTGGCGTATGCAATTACGAAGCCAAAGAAAAGCCAAATGGCCAACCTCACTCAGTCTCAAACACCTCACACACTCCCACCCGTGTTCCTGCTAGTGGCAGGTATTTTTAGAGTCCTGAGCTCATGGTGTTAAAGCATCTGCCACATGCCTGAGGGCTGGTAGGGATTCAGCCTTCTTCAGAGGCAAGAGGCAAGAGTTAAGACTTCTAGGGGGTGGGGTGGGGAGTGGGGATCAGGAGCCAAGTTGTAATGATATTCCTGGGCTATGCCTGCTGTCTTCTTACTGAACTTCGTTCCTCCGGTGGTCTGCTCTCTCTTTCTTCCTGTTCGGAATACCACAGAGAGGGGGAAGAAATGAAAACCTTTTCTGTCTCTGCCTGCAGAAGCAAATCAGTCTTTGAAGACTTGTGTTTTTTCTGTGTGCTCATGGTCAGATGTTCCCTCTGAAATCATCTTGGCAGCTACCTAGGATCCCAGACTGTTTGTAGTTTTAGTGGTTCAGGCCATCACTGCCTTTTGATAACATGGCTGCTGTTGATAATGATGATGATGACAACCTCAGTGACGAGTGTGGTCTGATGCAGAAAAAGACTGCTTACAGTCTTGCTGGAGAGCTGCCAAGAGCACTGACGAGACAATTAGAAAACATCAATCTATTTGAAATGGTATGATGCAGACTCCAAGTGCAACAGAGATTCCTAAGAAAAGAGAACTGAAGGGAAGCTGGCAAAGGTTTGAGGAACAAGCCAGAGGCATGAGCTGCACCTTGAAGAAGGGGTGAGATCTGGATAGGGCAATGATAGGTCAGGCGATTCTATAGGGAAAGAGTAGACTAGCATGACCCATGGTACAGAGGAGGGAATCAACCAGGTGTAACTGAGTAGTTTGAAACCAGGTTAGGAAGGGTCAAATTATGGCACAGAATTCCATTTGTGGAGTCCCTGTGATGGCACACGCAGTAGAGGGCTACAGTCGTTTCCTGAAGTGGTGGATGGCATGCTGATACCAGCAGGGATTGAGGAAAGCTAGTCAGAAAGCAGTATTCAGAGACCAGGTGCGGGGACTCATGCCTGTAATCCCAGCACTTTCGGAGGCTGAGGCATGTGGATCACCTGAGCTCAGGAGTTCGAGACCAGCCTGGCCAACATGATGAAACCCTGTCTCTACTAAAAATACAAAAGTTAGCCAGGCGCAGTGGCACATGCCTGTAATCCCAGCTACTTGGGAGGCTGAAGCAGGAGAATTGCTTGAACCTTGATGGTGGAGGCTGCAGTGAGCTGAGATCATGCCACTGCACTCCAGCCTGGGTGACGAGAGCTAGAGTCCATCTCAAAAAAAAAAAGAAGTAAAAAAAGAAAGCAGTACTCAGGAGACACTGCATTGATACTTTGCTGTAGTCCAAAAGTGAGGAGAGGAAAGGCTGGCTGAGGGCCGAGGGACACAGAAATTAGAATAGAAGAAGGGGTCAATCTGAAGGTCTTGCCAGAGGAACTTGGAAGCCATGTCAATAGAGGGAGATGACGGGGAGCCTGGACAATGAAAACTGATATACGGAATGATGACTCTAGGGCCCTGTAAAATCTTCACTCAGCTGACAGATTCAATTATATTTACTAGATTATACTTACTGACTGCTAACTCCAAATAAAGGCTATACTTCGTTTTAAGAGCCATAGCAGTCAATTAGTGGCCATAATCAAATTTTCTTTGATAACTGAGAATTGTATAGGGCCTTGGGACCATCATTCTGAGCATGAATCTCCCTTGTCCAAGACATTGAATATATAAAGGGAAATAGATTGGGCTGAATGTATATCTCCTGGGAGTTGTGTCTTCGCATATGTTACAAATAGCAGCTTTTTCCTTCATAATTTGGCCTTTATCCCAAAAGCTGAGATACAGAAGAAAAATCCAGTGAATTAAGTTACCTTTTACATAACAAAAAAGTAAACTTAAAAATAAATTGGAGGCTGGGCATGGTGGCTCACTTCTGTAATCCCAGCACTTTGGGAGGCCTGATCATTTGAGGTCAGGAGTTCAAGATCAGCCTGGCCAATATGGTGAATTCCCATCTCTACTAAAAATACAAAAATTAACTGGGTGTGGTGGGAGATGCCTGTAATCCCAGCTACTGGGGAGGCTGAGGCAGGGGAATAGCTTGAACTTGGGAGGTGGAGGTTGCAGTGAGCCGAGATTGTGCCATTGCACTCCAGCCTGGGTGACAGAGCGAGATTCTGTCTTAAAAAAAAAGAAAGTAATGAAAAAAAATATATACCACCTATAGTCTCATTGCTCATAAATAACCATTAATGTTCTGATGTGTACACTTCCAGTCTGTGCTTTGCATATGTTTATTTTTAACAAAAAAACAAATTGAGACCATAGCATATGAAAAATTTTGTATCCTGCATTTTCACTTGTATTTTGTGAGCATTTCTCTCACAAATTTAGTCTTTAAAAACATTTTAATGGCTGCATAATATCCCACTGTACAGATATATTTTCATTTTTATTTATCTATTTGAGACTGAGTCTCACCGTGTCACCCAGGCTGTAGTGCAGTGGCATGATCTCAGCTCACTGCTACCTCCACCTTCCGGGTTCAAGTGATTCTCAGGTCTCCGTCTCCCGAGTAGCTGGGACTACAGGTGTGCACCACCAGGCCCGGCTAATTTTCTGTATCTTTAGTAGAGATGGGGTTTGACTATATTGGCCAGGCTGATCTTGAACTCCTGACCTCAGGTGATCCCCCACCTTGGCTTCCCAAAGTGCTGGGATTACAGGCGTGACCCACTGTGCCCAGCTCCACTATATAAATATAAACTTTAGCTATTCCTCTTCTCGTGAACATTTAGGTTTTCCCCGTTTTTTAAAAAAAGTTCTAAATAACACTGGAAGACATTTGTATAAGATTTTGACCATATTCCTATTTCTTTTGTATAGATTTCTGGAAATGAGATTACAGGTCCTAAAAGGTATGAACATTTTTGAGGTTCTTGATAATATTGCCAAATCTCTCTCCAGAAATGTTGGCCAATTTACAAACCAGTGTTTCAACTAAAAATCTTAAGATTTTTTTAACTTGATATTTTCAGTTAACAATCTTAAGAAAAACTTGACAAAACCTGAAACTTCTCTTTATGCTTTGATAAGTTCATTCTGCTCATCTGTCAAAGAACCACTTCCTGTGTCACGGCTTGTCACTCCATTTTTTTTTTTTTTTGAGATGGAGCCTCTCTCTGTCACCCAGGCTGGAGTGCAGTGGTGTGATCTTGGCTTGCTGCAACCTCTGCCTCCCGAGTTCAAGTGATTCTTCTGCCTCAGCTTCCCGAGTAGCTGGGACTACAGGCGCATGCCAACACGCCCAGCTAATTTTTTGTATTTTTAGTAGAGACGGGGTTTCACCACGTCAGCCAGGATGGTCTCGATCTCCTGACCTCATGATCTGCCCACCTCGGCCTCCCAAAGTGCTGGAATTACAGGCGTGAGCCATGGCGCCCAGCCCACCTCATTTTTATAATGCTACAGAGCCATGTTTTCTCCTCTCTGTTCACGTTTCCTTTTCTGACTCTACGTTTGGGTTTTTGTATTTTCCAGGTTCAGGTGTGGGACACAGCAGGTCAGGAACGTTTCCGCAAAAGCATGGTCGAGCATTACTACCGCAATGTACATGCCGTAGTCTTCGTCTATGACGTCACCAAGATGACATCATTCACCAACCTCAAAATGTGGATCCAAGAATGCAATGGGCATGCGGTGCCCCCACTAGTCCCCAAAGTGCTTGTGGGCAACAAGTGTGACTTGAGGGAACAGATCCAGGTGCCCTCCAACTTAGCCCTGAAATTCGCTGATGCCCACAACATGCTCTTGTTTGAGACTTCGGCCAAGGACCCCAAAGAGAGCCAGAATGTGGAGTCAATTTTCATGTGCCTGGCTTGCCGATTGAAGGCCCAGAAATCCCTGCTGTATCGTGATGCTGAGAGGCAGCAGGGGAAGGTGCAGAAACTGGAGTTCCCACAGGAAGCTAACAGTAAAGCTTCCTGTCCTTGCTGAAACCAAATGGTGTAAATACAAGATAAATTATCACTGGAGTTTTTTCTTCCCTTTTTTCTGTGCCTGCATAATGCTGACACCTGCTTGTTTCCATACAAATTGATATCAAAATAAAATTTGTATCGATTATCACATGACTTTTTGTCTTGCTTTCCTCTAAGACATTCCTGATTGTGATGAGGAGAACAGGCAGTTTGCCCTACCAGAGTGACATTCCCACGCCAGGGCACACCCCCTACCAGCTTTCTAGGCTCTCTGAAATTCTCATCATTTGAGTCACTTCTTCAGGACTAATTCATTCTCTCACTCAGTGTAATCAGTAGGCAGAAACACCTGGTGGGGATAGGACACAGGCCAGAAATGTTTTTCTAGAGAGCAAATGCAGGCGAAGTGCTAAAGAAGTCCTGAAAGGAGATGTGGGCTCATCAGTATTTCCTAGGTTCCCTAGATACATGCCTTGAATGTCCAGATAGGCTACTCTCTCCCTGTTTTCCAGTTTAAAAATAAAAAGTATGGCCGGACGCAGTGGCTCATGTCTGTAATAACAAGACTTTGGGAAGCTGAGGTGGGCAGATCACTTCAGGTCAGGAGTTCGAGACCAGCCTGGCCTACATGACGAAAACCGGTCTTTACTAATAATACAAAAATTAGCCAGGCATGGTGGTGCATGCCTGTAATCCCAGCTACTCAGGAGGCTGAGGCAGGAGAATCACTTGAACCCAGGTGGCGGAGGCTGCAGTTGGCCAAGATTGTGCCACTGCACTCCAGCCTAGGTGACAGAGTGAAACTGTGTCTAAAAAAAAGGTGGTTTGCCCAATGAGCCTGATTACTTCCAGAATAGATTCTGCTTCCTATTTTTCACCAATCAGTCTTGAATCCTAAGGCTGTTCCCACTGTGACCCCCACGCCCACCCTTTCTTGGATGGGGAGGGCTCAAGCAACAAATATCAGGTCATGTCCCCAGACCTTTGCTAGGTGCTATGGAAGAAATGTTCCAAGAGGACACGTTCCCTGTGTTCACAGACCCTATGATCTAGTTGCAGGAACGATGTACACACTGAAACTATATGCAAACGAAAAGTAAATGACAACATCACTAAGTGTGAGGTTGTGCCATGGGAAGTGAGAGCATTATGTATTCACTATCAGGGAGGGTTCACAGGAAAATGATTAGACTTGTTTTGTCTGTTAAATAATGTGTAAGGCTTGGATTGGTAAAGGGGAGGGGAGTGGGCAAAAGCAGGAGGGCAGGAATGACCTTGGAAGTTGGACAAGAGGACAACTGGGGGGTCTGGGCCAAGGACAGCTGAGCAGCACTAGTGGGAGCTGAGGCTGGGGAGGGCTTGTGCATCATGCAGAACAGTTTGGACTTGCTTTTTTTGTTTGTTTGTTTTTTGTTTTGAGACGGCATCTTGCTTTGTCGTCCAGGCTGGAGTGCAGTGGCACAATCTCAGTTCACTGCCACCTTCACCTCTGGGGTTCAAGCAATTCCCCCTGCCTCAATCTCCTGAGTAGCTGGGATTATAGGCACCCGCCACCACATCCAGCTAATTTTTGTATTTTTTTAGTAGAGACAGAGTTTCACCATGTTGGCCAGGCTGGTCTTGAACTCTTGACCTCAGGTGATTGGCCCGCCACGGCCTTCCAAAATGCTGGGATTAAAGGCACTAGCCATCGCACCCAGCCTGGACTTGCTTTCTGAGCCAATGAGAGCTCTTGGTAGTTCTCCAGCAGGAGAGTCCTATAGTTATTTCTCATACATCTGGTCCTATGATTGATATGAAAGCTCCTTGTCCAATTGTGAAAGTAACTAAAAGTGGCTAGTAAAGGCTTGTCTACGATAGCTCCAGGTGGATTTCTTTGCTTGAGAGATGGTGTGCTCCTTAGAGGGCTCTCTTGCTGGAATCCCGCTGTGAGGGGGTCTCGGAAAGACAGCGCCTGAACACTTTCTCTGTTAGGCATATGGAGCTCTGCTCCTAGAAAGCGAAGGGTAACACACACCAGATGTGCTTACCACCCAAAGAAAGAGCTTGCCTGGTCATGCCTGGCTCATCCTTGCAACTCTCTACTAAAAAATAGAAAAATTAACTGGGTGTCATGTCATGCACCTGTAGTCCCAGCTACTCGGGAGGCTGAGGCAGGAGAATTGCTTGAACCTGGGAGGCAGAGGTTGCAGTGAGCCGAGATCGCGCCACTGCACTCCAGCGGGGGGCCAGGCGAAAGAGAAAGACACTGCCGCCTCAAGAAAAAAAACAATTCTGAAAAAACAAAAAAGAAGGAAAAGATAGAAGAAATAAAGGGAGGGGAGGGGAGAAGAGAACCCCAAGCTGCAGAAATAGCAAATGTCAAGATCCAGAGGCAGGTGGTGCGACAGTGTGTTTGAGAGACAGAAAGGGGGCCAGTATGGAGATGGCTGGAATAGAGCAAGCAAAGGAGAGAGTGGTAAGAAATGAGGTGCAGAAATAGGTAAGGCCAGGTCTATGGGGACCCTATGGGCCACGACTGGGAGTTTTCTTTCCTTTTTCTATTTTACGTTATTATTGAGATGGAGTCTCACTCTGCTGCCCAGGCTGAAGTGCAGTGGCACAGTCTCAGCTCACTGCAACCTCCGCCTCCTGGGTTCAAGCAATTCTCACACCTAAGCCTCCTGAGTAGCTGGGATTATAGGCAAGCCACCACACCCAGCCAATTTTTGTATTTTCAGTAGAGACAAGGTTTCACCATGTTGGCCAGGCTGGACCCAAACTCCTGACCTCAAGTGATCTACCGGTCTCGGCCTCCCAAAGTGCTGGGGTTATAGGCATGAGCCACCACGGCCAGCCTCCTATTTTGTTTATTTTTGAGACAGAATCTCACTCTGTCGCCTAGACTGGAGTGCAGTGGCACAATCCTGGCTCACTGCAGCCTCGACCTCTCAGCCCAGGCAATTACCCACTTCCACCTCCTGGGTAGCTGGGCCTACAGGCGTGCACCACCATGCCCAGCTTATTTATCTTTCTTTTTTCTAGAGACGGGGTTTCGCTGTGTTGTTCACTCTGGTCTCAAACAGCTAGTAAGATCTCTTTTGCGGCCCCAGAAATGAATTATGGCAACAGCACGGTTGTACAATGGTGCTCAGGCCTCCCTCAGATTGAGGGAGAGGATATGGGAATGGGCTTGACCCACAGCATACCCAGTAGAAGGGAACCCAGGAGGCCAGAGAACCATTAGACTCTTGTTGCTGTGGGGGTGATGAGGAGTGGAGGGATTCAAACTAAGGAGAGTGCCTCCAGCATCCTCATTCAGCCTTACTGTGTCTCTGGATCTATTTATGTTGGTCCCTGCCTTTCTTCTATGGCTCCCGTTCACTATCTAGACCTGTACCCTTGGGACTTTACCTGTGCTACAGAGACAGGACCTGCAGAAATAATTACTAACATTTCAATGCCTATGATGCATCAGGCGTTGCGCTGAAACACTTTACATTCATTCACTAGCTCATTTAATGCTCCTTCAGCCCTATGGAGTGGGATAATGATTTCCATTTTTATTTTTTATTATTTATTTTTAGTGACAGGGTCTCACTGTGTTGCCCAAGCTAAACTGCAGTGATGTCATCACTGCCCACTGCAATCTCCAACTCCTAGGCTCAAGTTATCCTGTCTCAGCCTCCTGGCTGGCTGGGACCTCAGGTGTGTGCCACCACACTTGGCTAATTAAGAAAAAGTTTTGGCCGAGCACAGTGACTCACGCCTGTAATTCCAGCACTTTGGGAGGCTGAGGTGGGCAGGTCACCTGAGGTCAGGAGCTCGAGACCAGCCTGGCCAACATGGTAAAACCTCATTTCTACTAAAAATACAAAAATTAGCCAGGCATGGTGGCAGGTGCCTATAATCCCAGCTACTCGGGAGGCTTAGGCAGGAGAATCGCTGGAATCCGGGAGGCGGAGGTTACAGTGAGCCCAGATTGCGCTACTGCACTCCAGCTTGGGTGACAGAGCAAGACTCTGTCTCACAAAAAAAAAAAAAAAGAAAAAGTTTTTTATATAGAGATGCGGTCTTGCTATGTTGCCTAGACTGGTCTTGTACTCCTGGGCTCAAGTGATCCTCCTGCCTTTGCCTCCTAAAGTGTTGGGACTACAAGAGTGAGCCACCATGCCTGGTCAATTTCCACTGTATGAACAAGAACATGGATGCACTGAGACTCTGACTTGTCCAATGGGATCTGTCTCAAGTCAAGTCTAGGTTCTTCTTGTGATATTACACTGTCTTTCTAGTCAGTTCCAAGCTCTGGGACTCTTGTAGGGATGCCAGGTTTACCCCAGCCAGTTTCCCTGATCCATGGAAGCTTGGCCAGCAGGACATTCACTACCCAGGGTGATCTGGGTAACCAGGGAATCCAGCCTGGTAAAGTGGATCTTTTCAGGCCCTAAACTTAGGATAAGTGAAACGGTTCCAGTTATACCCAATGTCCCTGGGCTGTTCCCTTGAAACTAGCAAGCAAGAGCCTCTTAATTATAAGAAGCAACTGAAAACCAATCCTGAGTATAACCTGAGTGAGATTGAGAATACAATAGATTGCATGTCTGCCGTGCGCCTCCTGCTGGTAAGATTAGTGAAGACAAGAGGCAGGAAAGTGTTTACCAGTAATTTTTTTTCTGACCAGTACTGACCATTTCCTGGGATGGACACTCAAACAGAAGGAGCTAATCCTGGTCCCAGTCTGTGCATTTAGATACCTGGAACAAGAAGGGTTACTTTTGTAAGAGGTAATGGGCGGGGAGTGCCCTGACGCTACCTCTACCAAATCACTGGGGCTTAACTCTCCTGAGGGAAGTCTGTGAAACCTACTAGCCTGGCAGCAGGGAGGGAGGGAGGGAGAGGAGACAGTGAGAAACATCTCACCCGCCCAGAGAGACAGATTTTGAAGCTGGGTAGGCAAGTAGTCTTGGTAGTCTTTAAGAGAGACCACTGGCTGGGTGCGGTGGTTCACACTTATAATCCCAGCACTTTGGGAGGCCAAGGTGGGCAGATCATGAGGTCAGGAGTTCAAGACCAGCCTGGTCAACATGCTGAAACCCTGTCTCTACTAAAAATACAAAAATTATCTGGGTGTGGTGGCACACACCTGTAATCCTAACTACTCAGGAGGC